ATCCCTGTGCCAACTGATGTAGATGGACCCAGCGCATGTAATCCTGTTGCCATGGGGGTTTTGTGACTGTGTTGAACACTGGCTGGCCATTGAAAACGGATCACATAAAGTCATAGATCAGGCTCCTCTATGCTATGGAGGGCAAAAAAGAGGCTCCCTGTTGCCTCTCTGCATGTACGTAAATAGGAGATTACTGTGCAGAGGCAGCTCCAGGTGGCTGATGCCATGACTGCTCTTCTATGACCAACCAGCTGCACATTACTCAACGTTTCTAATGCCGAAAACACACACTAGCCCTTCGCTCTGCAGTCACGTTGGGGACCCAGCTCGGAGGGTCCCAGGAGCCGGGAAACGCTCCGTTTTACCAGGAGATGCCAGGCAGGGAGGGGGCCAAGTGTGGGCTCAGAGCAGAGCGCCCCGGAAAGCCAGATTTCCCCCGAGCCCAGGGAGGCCAAAGGCTGGCCTTTTATAACGTTGGAGGCACAAAGTTTTGGTCCGTGCCGCAGCCGCCCGAGAATCTTTGAAGAGCATCGCCAGCCCCCGTCGCTGTTGCCGCCTCAGGGCCGTCCCTGTCCCGGGCGGCCGTTGGGCCGCAACCGTCGCCCGAGGCGGCGGATTTCTGCGGCGCTGAGCGGGGGGTGACCTCCGGTTTCCGTGGGGGCTGCCTTTCGTGAACCGACAGCTCTGCCAGCCTCTCTCCGGGGCAAGTGGGTGGCCAGATCGGCGCCCCGCAGCTTGGGCCGGCAAAAGCCGGGGTGCGGGCCAGCAGGCAGCTTCACCCTCAGCCACGGGGGTTGAGGGCTGCGCTGTTACCGAGTAACTGGCATGCTCTGTCTGAAAAATAGTAGTAATAACCAGTGGAGATGCTGGGGAGCGCTTCCCAAAGCACAGGGTACCCTGGGCTGGGATCCCGGGGCCGGTGGCCTGCGTTTCACCCTCACTTACATTAACCCCTGTGACCTGCCTCCTCCTGGTACATGACCCGGGCGGGCAGGGCCCAGCCGTCCTCCCCTGGCCAAGGCTGCCTGCGGCTCGGCGTCCTCACCAGCCCAGGGCCACTGTTAGCCGGGATGTTGCTGTAGTTCGTTCTCAGCAGAGATCAGGAAAGACCCCAGGAAATCCCATGAGGATTGCCTCTACAAAAAAGATGGCTGCCTCAGGCTTGAAGGTGCCTTCTCGTTTACCTCACGTAACCCCAAGGTTAACAAAGGATTTAGTTTGACTAATGAAGGAATTACGTTGTGTGGGGAATAGAAAGAGGATTAAGGTTTTCTCCAGGGAAAGTGGAGTTGTAAGAGAGTGAGACCGAGTAAATCGAGGTAGAAAGACAAGACTGGAAAGGGAAGCAGGGTGGCTCTGTTATGTGCCTATGGCCAGGGATTTTGAGGGCAACAACTAAATAAAATGGTTTTGCCACTACAGAGGTGTAAGATTGCAGAGGTCCTTTCTGTAGAAACGTAATCTCAGACTAGTAGTTTTTAATTTACAAAGAACATTGTCCAGGCTGAGTAAATTCCTCATCATGTGCAATTACTCCTCATACAGTCTGTAGGCCCTTTCCGGCCATTTGCTTGGGGACTTATGGTCCCTCTTTAAAATTCATTGTGCAGGGCTGGCAAACAGGTGGAGCTGTGCTCCACCGAGTGACACATGGCTCCTTCAAGTGCAGCTCTTTGTATATTTAGCTGTGTGCAGGCTGTGGAAAGAAGGGTTGCTGGGAAGGGAAAACGATAGGAGGAACACGAGCTGATATGGCAGGGTTGTAACGGGTGGCTGTGATGAACTGTTAAAAACATTTCACATGAGAAAAAGTGCATGTCATGTCGGGGGTCAGTGAAAACCGATGAAGGTTAAGAAATTGGACACCATCACTGAGGCTGTGGCAACAGGAATAAACAGTGTCTGTGAGAGCCAGATCTGAAATGGACAGCCCCAGTCTGCTTCAAAACAAGAATATAAATAAATAGTTCTGGCAGAGGAACAGAGGCATCATACTACAGTGCCTGTTACCCAGCGGGCTGATGCTTTGAAGCTTGTATCAGCAAGCGTCTGCTTCTCTTGTGTGAATGCCTCATTTTGCGCAAGGATAGCTTTTTATGCAGTAACTAGGATTAAGTCAGCTTCTTAGAAAGGCAGTTTGGGATGTTTGCAGCTCTTTTTGTAGGTCTGCTATGTTGGTACTTGGTTTTGATTCCTTGTACTGTCTTCATTTTTCATGATTGCTTTCTCTTTTTGAAAAGATATCAGAAAATTTGAAGCTTGAATTCAAGGTCAAAATTGGTTAAAGCAATGATTAGAGTGGGAGCAGCATTATCTGTCTGTGGAGTCTTGGTATTCACGTAGGTGGCAATTCTTACCTTTACTGGACTTGCCTCTGCAATCTGTCCATTTTAAGTTCACCAGACCAGTGTCCTGTAGGAAGTCTAGTCATTAATTTAAATTTGTAAATGCAAATAAGGCCAGGGAGCTTTAACAGAACAGCCAATGTTGTAGTACTTTCATATGTGAAAGGTCTAGGTAGGAGTTATTAAATATTTTTCATTATTTTCTTTCTAAAGAAACTTCTATTTGAAGTACTACAGTTGTTGACTGATGGTGAACAATCCTAGAGTCAGAAGTTACTGTCTCATAATGCATGGAACAATAAGCTACAAATTATCCGTTACCACTCAGGTAAGAGACAAAGAGATGGTCAGAGGTACTACTAGAGGAACTAAGGAAAACCAGTTAGCTTTGTGATGCTCCTTGGTATGTTCATGTTGAGTACACAGTTCTGGTGATCCCTTCACAAGAACAGAGTAATATGCTAAAATAGGTGCAGAGAATGGCAGCCAGGATGGTCAGCAGTATTGACTGATTTTCACATGAGGAAAAAAACTAAACATACTAGGACTATTCATTATGGAAAGCAGCAGCTGTGGAGGACATGCTAGAAGTCTATGAAGTAAGGAGTGGAATGGAAAAGGTGAAACTGAGAAGTGTCTGTTGATTGCCTTTCACAAAACAGGAAGTAGGAAGCCCTGAATGTAATTGTCAGGCAAAGGTCATAGTTCTTATGCAGTGTATCATTCATCTTTAGAATTTTTTGCGATGGGATATTGGAGAGGCTAAAGCTGTGAAGGATTAAAAAAATGACAAGGCAAGTTCCTTGTCCATGAGTAGCTATGTAGCACAATGGATTGGAGGAGACCTTTGTCTCTGAAGGTCTCTAAACATCAGCTTCTTGGGACCTGGGAAGGTAGGCTAGGGAAAGAGTCATTCAAAACTTGCCTTGTTCTTATGTTCCCTTCCCAGACATCTGGTACTGGCTGTTTGGTGAACTAGGGCACCACATGAACATCTCCAACCCAGTGTGCCATTTCTCCTGTTCTTATGGAACAAAAGCCTCATTAGGGGAAGCCCTGCAATTATCCCTTATAAATGCCTGCTGGTACAGTATTATCATTTGTGCAGATAATTGTGTGAGATCCATCTGCCTGGCTAAAGGAAGTCACATATGAGAAATTAAAGGAAGTGGAGGTGAGAATCACTGATAGAGTAATGGCCTTGTGCTCTCTGCTTAGCTTTGCATTTTGCCTCAGTCTTTTCTTAAACATACTCTTCTGTATAGCTTAAGTTTATTTGGAAGGGATGCTTTTCCTCTGTAAAACGGTAAGGCAGTTGTTCTGGTACTATTGTCTGTGTAGAACTTGTTGTGTGATACTCTGTCTCTTTTTTCCTTGGTTCTAGTTAATAAATTGCATTAGAAGGGAGTAAAATACATTAAATTTTTGGACTTATTTCATATTTGTCTTCTTTATATTGTTTTCTCATGTTAGCAGCAGCTGAAATTCCCCTAAGAGTGTTATGTCATCAGTGATGGGTGCAGAATTGGGCCTCTCTGATACTAAATGGGAAGAAGGGTGAATCTCCATTAGAGTTTATTCACCAAAGTGACCCTTTCCTTATGAGCTTATACAAAATGAGAACCTCTTTCACAATGTGTCACTGAGGCACCAAGTTCCTTCTCTTATACAAATCAGTAATAAACCCTTCACTATATTAATCAATCAGAATGTAGCATGCGATATGACAGTGCTCAAAATAGGTGGTAAATAAATAATCAAAGTCCTATATTTTTTTGATATTGCTTTCTTTCTGGTGATGGATTTCAGTTCAGGTCTCCAAATGTTTCTGGATTAAAACAAGTGAGGAGTAATGAGAACTATGAAAAGAGCCTTCATTTTCACAGTTACTAAAGAGACTAACCTAATATCTTACTGTTGTGCATTTTTTAGAGGTTTTTTTTTCCTCCCTTTTGCAAGATGCTAAGTAGTCCGATGGGAACTGATCTAAGCTTGGTATTACCTCTTGCAAATATAAGGAACAAAATGCCTGATGTTACCATGATCATTTGAGGATGCTGAAGAAATATCTTTGAAAGTGAAGGCTGACACAGTTTCAAGAAATTAACTTAGAAGCTAGTAGCCTCATGGTTTAATAAGCCAGGGTATGATTGTTCATATTGTATGTCAAGAGTGCTGGTAACCATAACCAAAAATAAGAGCTTGCTTTATTATATTGTCATTTACATTAAAGATTGGGACAAAGCCCTCTATGCATTGGAGACAGAGGGAGTTCCAGCTCTGTGAACTTAGGACTTCAACTTGGGTTTCTCAGGCAGCCAGAGAAACAGCTGAAGTTACTTTTGTATAAAATAATCCACAGTTCTCATTGTCCTTTCTTTCCTTCCCAACCCCTTCTGACTTTTTTTTTTTTTTTTTAATTTGGATTATCTCTTTCTTCAGCAAGAACTCTCTTTAACACAGAAAACATTATTTTACTTTTATATTTTCTTTTGGAAGGCAGAAGTTGTAACAAAATAAATAAAGTGAGGCAATAGTGGAATGAAAGGAGGAAGAACATGAAATGTGAGGAAAACTAAGAAGTGGTGTCCAAACCTGTTGTATCTGAAGTTAGTGGCAAAACTCTTGTTGGGTTGCAATCAAGTACTTAAAAGAATGTGTGCCTATTCATTGCAGGTCGACCTCACGCGCACCTTCACCTTCCGCAACTCCAAGCAGACATACACAGGAATTCCCATTATTGTGGCAAACATGGACACTGTGGGGACATTTGAAATGGCTGTGGTTATGGCAAAAGTAAGTCTTGATTCTCATTTCTGCAACAGCTGGGAAGCCACTGGGTGACAGTGAGCAGCCTCTGGTAGTTTTTAGCTATGGATTTTGGGGAACAGAGGGGCATAAGTTAAAAAATGCAGAAGAGAAGGTGTGGTTTCACTGCAAAGCAGCCGTGCTTTTTACGGCAGTATGGGAGACAGGGCTCCAGATAGAAGATAGTTTCAGTGGATGTGCTTACTGGATAGCTTCCATCTTGGGTGTGGCTCAGCTTCAGGTGGAGCTTCTAGAGCTTAGTTTTTGAGATCTATATTATGTTCCCTTCCAGAAAAAAATTATTAGCTGATAGCAGTTTTGAAAGTGTAGGGTACTGGATAAAACCTGTAGCAGTCAGGAGTCACCAGATAATTAGCCCTGCCCTCAGGGCTCACCTTAATTTCTTGCAGCACTTAAGAACATTCAAAATATTGACCATAACTTCATGAAACATCAGAAACCCGATCCTGAAAGGTCAGCTAAGTATGCAAAGTTATCTTTGAAGAGCTGTTTGGAGTTGCCTGATCTGTTATTCACTGTTACTGTTCCTTTCAAGCAAGATGAGCCTATACTTAAAATGGGAATTTCTGGTATCTTGTTATTCTGCAGCTGAGGGAAAGATGACTAACTTGGACATTAATATCAGTTTTCTTATTTTTGCTAGCATGCAATGTTCACTGCAATTCACAAGCATTATTCTCTGGAAGAATGGAAACTGTTTGCTGCCAATCACCCAGAATGCCTTGAGGTACATTTTCGTACTGTAAATTATTATGGTTTATTGCTTTGTTCTGAACTCACATACACTGGAGTCTCTTGGCAATACTGTTGTCAAGTGAGGTTTTGGGGAATGAAGATATTTGCTGTTCTTAAACGCATCAAGGGAAGTGGCTTGTCCTGGTTTGAAAAGAATAGCTATGTGAGTCCATTATGATAGTGTTTATATTAAGATGCAAAAAAGCAAAGTTTGTATAAGCCTGGAATGGAAACAGAAGTATCCTGAACAAAGACGAAGGAAGTACTTGGGAATAGGTCTAACTGCTGTGCTTCTGCTGTTGCTGGGAGCTGTGGTAGTGCTGGTGAGGAAGAAGCCGAAGACTACAGATGCAAATAGCCTTCAGTAACCCAACAACAGGCTGGCCCTGCACACCCTTGTGCTAGGCAGTCTTTGCTATCAAGGTGTGCAAGTGGACCCAGAGCCTGTGGGCTGAAGGGGCCCAGGTGCTGGGCCCAAGCAGGGATGAGCACTGAAAGTTGTCCGAGCATATGTGTCCTCCATTTACCTCCTTGCACTAAAGCTCACACTGTGCAGCTACTGCTGCTGCCCCACTTGTTCACAGGGTCCTAGCCTGAGCCATTACAAAGAAACACCATTTAGTAAACTTAACCATTGACTTAAGTTCTGACTTCGTGTTTCTTCAGTGTTCATCTGGCAGGTGCCTACACCAGGCAAGGCAGTTTAAGAGCATGCCTGGCTGTCTTTCCACCTCAGAGCTCAGTGCAGTTTTGAAACGTTTTCTGTATAGAAGAGAATACCACACAGCTGTACTGCATCTTCACCTGTGACACATTTATTTTATTATGATTATATTATGAAGGCTGTTGATAACAGGATTGTCTGAAAGCCAGCCTGTCACTTCATCAGGGTTGCTTATATGCCACTAAAAGGTAGAAAGTGGTCCCAGGAATATCCTGTGTCTGAACAGTTTGGCACTTAGCTCATTTGTGGTTCATAATCACTGGAGTAGGATCTCCTAGTGGTTAAATACCGACTTGTTCTGTGACCTTGGATCTCTGCAGAGGTTTTGTAGGCCAACAGCTGTGGAAACTATTTTTCTATTGGAAAGAACTCATAGGAAGACAAAGAAGGAAGCAGTCTGCTTGTTTTGAATGGTAGCTGACCCTGCTTGAGCAAGGGGGTTGGACTACACAGTCTCCAGAGGTCCTTTCCAAACTCAACTATTCTGGGATTCTCTAGATCAAGGGAGTGTTTGGTGAACTTAAAGACCCAGATTCGACACTCCAAGAGTGCCCCAAATTTAGCCACTCTGCCTTCGTAGAAATATATCAAGTTAGGGTTGCTTCTGTGTTTGCGTTAATATGAGTACAACTGAGCCTTTATCCATCTCAGGTATTGCCTATGCATATTTGCCTATGAGAATCCACTTGTGAATGAAGGGATGATAAATAGCTAATTTTGCTTTATTTTAGAGCCTTTAAACAAAAAAGAAGTAACACATTGATATTCCCAGGAAGGTATTTATTTCACATTACATAGTATGATTTTCACTAGTTTCCAGCACAAGTTCTCCCAAGACCATGCAGAAAAAGACGTACAAATTGTGTTTATCCCACTTTTTACAAACTACTACTCCTTCTGTTCTCTCTATCTTTCTAGCATGTAGCAGCAAGCTCAGGTAGTGGTAAAGCTGATTTGGACAAGTTAACAAGTATTCTAGAGGCCATTCCACCTATCAAATACATCTGCCTGGATGTGGCAAATGGCTATTCAGAGCACTTTGTGGAGTTTGTGAAGTCTGTCCGTGCCCTGTTCCCACATCACACCATTATGGTAAGTGTGTACAAGGGGTGGGGGTGGGTGTGTATGGGAATTCTTTCCAGCAGCAGGCCCCAAAGTTTGGTTGGTAGGCATCAGCTCCTCTGTGGTAGTTCCATCAATTTCTGAGTCCTCATTTAAATCAAGGAAAGAGGGAAGTGAAGAAAAGTCAAGTCTGACTCAAACCTCTTGTCTTCCAGACAAATACATGTGGACATACACACTTCTGAGAATATAGAGGGCAGCTCTATTCATCTACCCTTTCAGTTCAGCAAGATGTTGACTTTGAGCCAAATGATGACTGTAATAACATGTTGGCATTGTCAGTCCTCCATTGCTGATAATTTCTGTGGGAATGCTCAATGGGTGCTCTGATACAGCAGTTTGATGTTGGCATGGCAGGCTGGGTGGATCCATTTTTTTTTCCTACTCACATCCTCCTTCCCACACCAGATGTGACCTCTAATCATAAAGTGTGTAGGTTTAATTTGGTGATTCCAAGCTGAGGTTTGCTGTGGGAATGCGCCGACAGTTTCTGGGCAATTGAGGCCAGTGGCTGTTTTTGTCTAGTAAATCACTATGAAGACAGCTGAATATAGACTAATCCTTGCCTGTGATAAGAGTCATAGGGGTATTGTGCAGTTATGAATGGGGTCATCAGGAAGCAAAATAGTCACTGCTGGGGCTTTTCACATGCCTTCTGTGATGTTTCTATCCCTTCTGAGAGCACTAATGCTATGCTTCTTCCAGCCCTTTTACACCAAGAGTAGGGTGTTTGCATCAGCACAGGACTCCTTGCAGCAGAGCCCTACTGCTTCTTTCCCAGAGCCCTTGAAGAAATGGGTCTGAATTTGTTTCCATGAGAATATAAGAAATTCTCAGTCAAGCAGTAGATTCTTAATCAGGCTACCAGCCTTTCTTAAGCCAGGGCAACAAAAAATCATGTGTTTAGGCAAAACTTTGTTACCTTCTCATGCTGTACACAAAGCTTCACAAGTGTAATGTAAATGTGAAGTAAAAATGGGCATAAATGCACACTCTGACTTGGTTCAACAGGGAACTTGACATTCAGGCAGCTCAGGGGAGACTACCCTCCTTCCTCCCATGTTGGAGGAAGGCAATGTTCTTGCCTCTGAATGGTGGCATTGGAGAATGGAAGTAGGCTGGAATGCCTGTGGGGTTCTGGGTTACCATAGGCTAATGAATAGGCATCCTTCAGCAACTACCAGCAGACATGGGAACCTTTTTGGTATGGCAATATTTCCCATGGCTTTGGGGAGGGCTTCTGGAAGTTTGAAATTATAGATGATGCCTTTTTGAGCTTCCTGCTTCACATTCACTGCAGCAAGGGAAGGAGCTGTTCCCTTGTGTTGGATCTGAAGTATTGTCCCTAGTGACATGATTACTCCAGTGTCTTTGGCTTGAAAAGTTGTGGGAGGGAGCTTAAACCACATAGTTAAAATTCTTCCCTATCAGGAGTGGAAAGAAAATTGCGTGTCATCCCCTCCTCCACCTCCCCACAGACTGCTGACTTTGCTGACTGAGGAGGGAACTCAACGAAGATGAATTGCCCAGAAGGCAGAGGAGGTCAATGTCAAAGTCAGGTATCAAGCCTGGATTTTAGTCCAAGGTCCTTAAGCCAGTCTCATCCACCACCCACATCTGTTAAGCTACTCAGTTTCTCTACTTCTGTGACTAAGGTTATTGTCAGTTTAAGTATCACTGTTCTGACAGCACCACCTGCTTGAGCACATATACAGCCCTGACCTGTTCAGTCACCTCTGGTTGTAGCTCCTTTCTCTGAACATGGTTTTGTATAGCTCATGTTTTTAATCTCCCGCATAGGGATAATTTCCATTCATAAACTTTCTGTTTTCCAAAGTCTCCAGAGTCTGTGCAGTCCCTGCAAATCTCTGATTCATCTAGGGAAATACACCTCTACCCCACTTCCAAATGAGTTTACTTGAGACTCTGTGCCAAAACAGCCTTTTGAAGCCGTTCCTGGCTGAAATGCAGGAGCTTGTCTAGGCTCCTTTTTGTGATACTCTGGAAGACATGTCCTGCTGCTACCTGTTCTGTCTGCTTTGATGTCTCTGTGCTGTGCCTGCAGTGTGCCCTCTGCTGTGGTAGCTTTCAAACAAAAGGGTTAGCAGTTAAATAGAAGATATAAAAATAAAGAAGCTTTCTCATAGCTGAAAGTGATCTCCAGGACCTTGCAGGCTGTCTTGTTTGCTTTCCTCAGCATGACCATTCATTCCACAGTCAGCTGCAGTGCAGTACATAGCAGTAACCCAACCCTGGGTCTCAGGGAAGGTATGTTCCCAGGGGCCATGCAATGGGTTCAGCTCTGAGGCTGAAAGGTGATGTGCAGAGCAGCTGTGGTTAACGTGGTACTCTGTGGCCAGTACTCCAGTGCAGATAGAGGATGCCTCTTGTGTAACAACCTCTCAAATGCATGGTTTTACCTTTTTAAATACTTGCTTTTATAATCACATTACCTTATTTTCTTCTGTCTGGCTCTGACACAAGCTCTTTTCACTCCTGCCTTTCATACTAATTTACAAAGATCGATTTCTCATGGAACACAAAGGGTAGGGAAGACAAACAGGGACACAAAGGTACAACATGACTTGCCTTTAATCGCTCATTAGATTGAGGATGGAGGAAGAAGTAGTATTCAGGTCTCCTGAGTGTCTCACAAGTGCAGCACTACCCCCCAGAATCAAGAGTAATGGTCCAGTGGGGTGTTTTGCTGTAGCACAGCATCATGTGCTTGGGTTGTGCCTACTTGCTGAAGTCTAAAGCAAAATTTCTGTTGATATTCATGATGGAGGGTCAGAGCTTTCATATTACAGTAAAGAGTCCTTATTTATTAGTGTAATTGTAGACGTTAGTGTTCTTCCGTTTCACTGGAAGTCTGTTTAGCAAGCTAAGATACCTTTGCCAGCAAGCTTTGCCAAGTTTTTATCCTGAATTTTTCTTTTCGTAGTGTTGTCTGTTCATTATACAGGGGAAACCCTAGGAAGGGGAGCGGGGAGTGTGGCAGGACGGAAAAGCCAGGGGCACACTTGCAGATGCAGTAGCACCCACAAGATGTGGGCCAGGGATGGAGGCAAGCAGAATCACAAATCTGGAGCAGAGGGAAATGACAGGGGCCAGAAACTGTTGCTCCCCTTGGAGTTAGTAGCAGAACTTCTCAGGGCCTTAGTGGAGGCAGAATCAGATGGAGACAGCCAGGCAGACTGCTCCCAGTTCATCTCTGAAACAAGCAGCAGAGTTAGTCCAGTCATGGCGTGTCCACCAGGGCTGGGGTCTCAGAGCAAAGGCCAGCTGGGATCCCGGGGTAGGAGACTGTCATGCTGCCAAGGCTATCTTGGGTCAGTCTCAATTCTGAGTGCAAGCCCCCACCTGATATGGCTCAGCCTCACAAAGGGCATCATCTCTCCATCTTAGGGTAAAGCACCCCTTGCCTTGATGGGTGGGAAGTGTCCTTTGGCAGTGTTCCTCATAGTGTGGAGGCACAGACTGTGCTTTCCTCTAGGATACAAGAAGAAAGTTTGAGAACTGTTGTCACAGACACTTCTCCCCAGCTTGATCCATTGCCATTTGCCAGCAGCTTTCAATCAGTGCAGCAGTGTTCCTGTCTTAGTGTGAGGCGATATTTATAGCAGGCTTTTATGAGGCACAGTATCAAATGCCTGACTGAAATTCAGAGGCACTGCCCTACTGTGTTCGCTAATTTTGTATCTCTGTCAGAGAAGCTGTAGCCTTTATAATCCTGTTAGGTGAAATCCTGATCCCATTAAAGTCAGTAGTGAAACTCCCTTTGACTTTTCTGAGGCCAGGATTTCCCTCAGGACTGACCCACAGTTCAGTCATCCTGGATAATGCTGGAATGAGCCAAAGTGACACTCACTTGAAACCTCTCACTGAGTGATGGTACAGCTGAATATTGCCATGAGTGTGTAAGGCCAGACCCACAGCCAGGGTAATTTGTTGTAGCCCCTAATAACTGACCACACTGTAAACATGGTAGTTTACCTGAGTTTCAGTTGTTACTGATGCTGTTATTTTACTGCCAGGGGTAGCAAAGTTAGATTAGCAGTTCGGTGGTTGCCGGGCTATATCTGCTTCAAGAAAGCCAGTTCTGCAGCAGATTAGAAATGCATTGGCACGTGGGCTCACCATTAACATGAGCATGCTTTTTGCTAATACAGTACTTCTATCATTTACTATGTTCCCCGACTACTTGCCCAAATACACTGCAAAATATATTTTCTGTAGTGGCTTCTTTTTCCAATTTCAATTACTTTACTTGCTTTTACTTGCTTTATATTCTTAGTTAATTTTAGGGGGATTTCATCTCTGTAGTCTCAGTCTTTCTATAATCACGTTTTCAGTTTTGTTTTTTTTTTTTTTAGTTGAAGTATTCTGGCTTTACCTTACAGGTGGGGCTTTCAAAAGCCCTTATGCTTCTATTCAGCTGTCATACAGGCATCAGTGGTAAAGCAAGCATTGGTTTCAGTGGAAGTAGAGTTCAGCTGGATGTGAGAAAACAGCTTTCCCTGCTCCTCAGCTGTGATACTAGTGTCTCTTCACATACAGATAGCTGTGTCTCTCTGAGGTCTGTGAAAGGTACCTAAAAGAAGCAAGCCTGTCATCAGCAGGTTGAAGTCTGCTATGTAGAGCTCCCTATCTTCCCTGAAAATTTGTTAAGGATCTGCAGATTCAGAAAGACAGAAACCGCTGATGTGTATACATGCATTCCAGGAAAAAATGTATGCTGGGGACATAAGTGCTTTTCCCTGCTAGGATGAGCATTTTGAATCAACATATGCAGTTCCAACATTCTCTAGCAGTAACTTAACATTAAACGTCTGGTTAGCATTTCTGAAGAGACAGTTTGACAACCTGCTATGCTCTGCTAATAAGAAGACACTGCTGTTTAAGTTAAATACATGTTTGATCCCAAATCTCATGGAGCCACTGACTTTTAATACCCATTTGTTCCTGTTTATAAATCTGTTGCATGTACTCCAGTATTTCACCAAGTTGTAAAGTGCTGCGTGTCACACTGCACAGGTAGTCATCTGCCTTCCAGACATAAACTGCTTCCTTCACGTTGTAAGAAGTGTGCTCTGTCACCCCACCTTGGAGCGTACAACAATTAGTAGAACAAATTACCACTGAGCAGAAAGGAAACAGCACTTATCTGGAAACACTGTACCTATTATATATTCTTTATTTCCTGACTGCTCTATTTTATTTTATTTTTAATCAATATCATGCAGTTTTGAGCAAAGTTAAGTGATCCTGTGTCCTAGACCACAAATTGCTGCCTAACAGTATCATTGTTTTTGTAAGTGCCTCAGGTGGTGGCTTGTCAGCTGTTTCAGGCTAATAAAAGGGGGAAGTAAAATCATTAAAAATAAATAAATGGTGAAATAGGAGCCAAAAATCAGTAAGTGCAGAATAGGCCTTGCCCAGCATTCCCTGGGTAGCTCCTGTTGACTTCAGCAGGAATTTTGTTTCAATAAAAACTAAGAAAATATTAAGTAAGGATTTTAGGATTTGTCCCTTGCTCTGCCCATATCAGTACTGCTACAAACACTTGCTAAATCCTGGAATATCATTACATAAGAGGTTTTCTGAACATCTCTAGATCCTAAATTTGAATCTCTGCAAATGAGTAGCCTATCTCAGTACAAGTGCAAAACAGGTGATGTGAGCAACTGGACTTGTGTTTCATGCAGGTTTATTTTGTGCAGTTTTTCTAGTTAGGAGCATGCTGTAGATGTGAGAGAAGCCATAGAGCTGAAATCCAAACCATAATTGGTTTTCAAGTGTCTCATGGAATGATGGGTCTGATGAATCCCAGAGCACTTGAAGGAGCTAGTGGATATTACAGCAGGACCCCTCAGTCACTTGCCAAAGGTCTTGGGAGTCTGGGGAGGTCCCTACTGACAAAAAGCTAGCCAGTGTTATTCCATTTTACAAGGCCATGAGGGAAGACCTAGGAAGCTACAGACCTGTTAGTCTAATCTCATTAGCTGGAAAAATTATGGAGGAGATCATACTGGGTGCTATTGAAAGACATTTAAATAACATGCAGTATTCAGGCTAGTCAGTAAATGTTCATGAAGGGAAAGTTCTGTTTAATTTTATATCCTTCTATGATAAGGTCACCCATCTAGTGGATGAGGGAAGGTGGTGGATGTAGTTTCTCTGGATTTTAGTAAGGCTTTTGATACTGGCCCTCACAGCATCTTTCTGGACAAGCTGTCCAACGGTGGGACAAGCAGGTTCATTGTGTGCTGGGGGCTCAGAGGGTTGTAGTGAATGGGGCTACATCTGGCTGGTGACCTGTCACCAGCAGTGTTCTGCAGGGCTCAATTCTCGGGCCAGTGCTGTTCAATTTTATCAGTGATCTGGAGGCAAGAGTTGAATGCACCATTAGCAAGTTTCCTGATCATACCAAACTGGGCAGTGCTGTTGACTCTCTGGAGGGACAAGAGGCCTTGCAGAGGGATCTAGATAGATTGGAGCATTGGGCAATCATCAGTGGCATGAAATTGAACAAGAACAAATGCCAGATTCTGCACCTGGGACAGAGTAACACCAGACACAAGTTAAATTGGGAGAGGAGTGCCTGGAGAGCAGCCTGGAGAAAGGGAACTGGGGGTGCTGGTTGACAGCAATGTACAAAATGACAATAGTACCTTCCTTACTCTTTTAGTACTCAAAATACTAAATCCTACAGGAAAAAGATTTGCCAGGGTTTTAAATAAGATCTGAACATCTTCCCACAAAGTGAGGTATGCAAATAGGATGGTGGGCTATAGGCTGTTCAGGGGGGATAGGCATGGCAGGAGAGGTCGAGGAGTTGCACTGTATGCAAGAGAAAAGTTTGACTGTATAGCCCTTAGGGCTATGGATGATGTGATTGAGAGCCTCTGTGTGAGGATTAAGGGGATAGAAGACAAAGCAGATATCCTGATGGGATCTTAAGGATCAGGGTTTCCTGGACCTATCATGAAGTCTGTTTGACTTGAGAATGTACCTGTATGATTTGTTTAATCACTGTGGCTTGCACAATGAACAGTATATATTATTCTTGACTCTATATAGTTGAACTTGTAAAAGCACTGGATAAAACTCTACATTATTGTCATTAGTCTTTACTGTGGGAGTTTTGAAATCTCCAGTATATGTGATGTTGTTCCTTCTGTCTAGGCAGGCAATGTGGTGACAGGAGAGATGGTAGAAGAACTTATTCTTTCTGGAGCAGATATTATTAAAGTTGGTATTGGACCAGGTAAGTCAAATCCAGTCAAATAAGGGTGACTTATGGTAACATTGGTGAGGGAGTTGTCTTGATGGAACCAGTATGTAATGCTGTTTATTGTCTGTTAGGATGCTTAGGCCCACTAAGGTCAACGAAGTAACAGTGCACTTACACATAGTATATTTAATAAATACATGGGCAGGCTGCTAGTGTTTTGTACTGCAGACTGTTAGTATTGCATCTTTGGGCAGTGAAGATGCCTATTATGGGAAGCACTGAGTTGCCTGTGTTGTTGACATTATCACTGATAATATGTGTTGTCTTTAGGAACACTTTTTCCAGCTTGTTGAAAAGAGGCTGAGTCATCCCAGCTAAAGCTTAAAGAATACTGTGTTCAGGTATCCACTCTGTTGAGGAAAGATAGGTTTCTAAGTAGCTTTATGATTTGCATTCAGTTAAGCTGGAGTTGCCCATCTTGTCAATGCCTTCAAAGATGAAATGGCATTAATTAAGTGTGAAGTATGGATAACATTGCCTCTACCTGTTACTGTTGCCTGGGAGCAAAAATATACATTAATGTACTTATATGTTACCTATCACTATAATGTTCCCATGGATAATGGGAGGACTCTAGACTTCTTACAGTGTTTTTCCTACCTTTCCTTCCCTAATGTTTTCTGGCACGTACTGCCCTATTGTCTTCCCTTTTTTGTTTCCCTCCCTTGTATGTTTCTTCATGTGCTCCTTCCTCTTGTGATTTTCTTCTCAGACAGAAGCTGGGGTCACCATACATGGGCTAGATTTTAAACTGGCTAACACAAGTGTCACTGACAGTATAGCTGTGATCAGCCAGTGTACTGCAAGCAGATTGTTTACTCTACAATGCCAAATAGTTATGGTCCATGAATGGATAATTTGAGCAGAGCAAATGATGTAATAAAGGTTGCAGTTGTGCCCAGGAAGACAGCAAACAACAATAAATACTGCAAATTACATGAAGAATAAGCATCAGAGATGTTGCGATGCAATTGTCACAGGCAAGTTCAGATATAAAAGAAGAAATACTATAGTTTGTAGCCTCAAAGTGGAAATAGGAGTAAATGCTGTACAGCCCTCTCTGGAGATCTTCCTGAACAGATCTGGTACAAATTGATCACCCAAAACTACAAGTAACAAATGTTCCTCACAGAAGATCAGATCTTGAGGCTCTTTTCCAGACAATGGTCCATCCTGTGGAAAGTGGCAGTGATTTATTATAAGGCATTACACACATAAGTACATAGACCGTGAAGATTATTTTATAGCTAATTATCTTCCTACTTTGCAGAAATACTTCTCAGTGTTTTCACCATGTCAGTTCTTTGAAAGATGTTTGGAAACTTTTACTTTACTCGTAGCTCAAGTACACCTGCATATCAGCTGGGTGAAGGAATCCAGATTTCACTGCATTTGGTTTAGAATCTGTTCTGAAATTCTTGTTGTCATGCAGACCTTTATGGTCTGTATCCTAAATTATAAGATCTGGACTGGCAAAAAGCAGTCCTCATTTTGACTCTTGAGGAGAAAAGTAGAGAAGGTATTGCAAAAGATCTATAGCCATGTTACCATGTTGAGCTATAATTAAAGTGGGTATTTTTATATATATATGCATATACCTTTACTTTTATATATACATGTATATATGCACCAAGTATGGATATATAGTTTAATAATAAGATGTAATTAGTATATGTCCTGTAATATTACACTATACAGCTTTCTGATGATTACTTACCTCACTTTTTAAATAATATGTACTCATTTTCTTATATTCCCAACTATTGCAATCAACCAATTATTTCTGCTTTAAGTATTAGGCAAAAGATGGGTTTCTCTCCATTGTGCAAAATCCCCACAAAAAAGAAAATAAAAGCACAGAATTTCCCTTAGAATTATTTTAAAAAACATGTAGAAAAGAGATAGGAATTTTTATTGGAAGAAATATTTGGGTATTAAATGCTGCAGCTGTGTCTCACAGGTTGTGGCTCTGGTCCTTTTGTCCCCCTTCCTTTCAGGCACCTCAGCCAGATTTGCCTTCTTGTGATGCAGTAATTCCCTCACCAGGAAGCATTACTGATGAGACCTAAGCTGAGAATTGTGGCCCTGGAGAAGAAAGGGGGGGTATTAGTTCCTATGTGTTCCTTTTATCCGTGAGAAGGCAACATTGGCAACAGAGACTTCTTGAGGGAAAAAATAATGCAGACATAAACACATTTTTTTCCACAAGAAAAAGAAAACAAGCTGTATCTTTTCTGTCAGCCTAATGGGCTATGTTTTTCCCTCTCATTCTCTTGTCTAGGTTCTGTGTGTACTACTCGGATTAAGACGGGGGTGGGCTATCCACAGCTAAGTGCTGTTATTGAGTGTGCAGACTCAGCACATGGCTTGAAAGGACATATCATCTCTGTAAGTAAATATCATCTACTCTGATTCCCACTGTGCAAATCGTTGTGGATTAGGAGAATCAAACAGTCCAGTACCCTGCATGTTAAAGGATATCCTTCTGTCATCCCCAGTTGACCCCTGTGGTAGCTCCTGGGGTAGTCAGTGGAGATTTAAATGTAAAGAAATCGACTCCCTCTAATGTTTAAAAAGGTTTGGGCACCTCGCTCCTGTTTGTGCCTTTGGAAAGCTGCTTCTTGCTCCCTGAATGGAGTAAGCTGTTATGTGAGCAGAATAGAAAGCTTGATAGTGTTTTCACATTGAAGTAAACAGTAATTCCTATGAAAGATTTCTGAAAAATTAGTGAAATGTAAACATGGCTTTCCCCAGAGAGTGGGACTGAGGGACAGACAGGCAGTAGAGGGGAGTACAAGGTAAGATGGTATGAGCCCATCTGTGTCTCTGTAGATGGATTAATTCGGAGAACATCCTCACAGAGCTCTCTGTGCAGGAGCAGGAGTGTTTCAGAAGCAGCTCTGTTGAGCACAGCTGGCACATGAACCACTTACGTTCTCACAAAGCTCTGGGGAAATAATGAGCCTGTGGAGAAAAAAGAGCATGCATCTGTATTGCCTGCTAATAGCAGCTCCCACTCTACCAGCAAGACCAGCATCACCTCACATAGAAAAAGTAAATCTGTAGGCATGTCCTCAGACTGAACTAGGCTGCAGCCTACAGCACCCAAAGGTCCTGTGTGCTGAGGCACACTCAGGCAGTCACTGGGCCCCTGCCTGCCTCAGGCTTGTGCAGTGTCTGCAGGCTGGCTGTGAGGCAGCTTGTAATCAGGAAGGCATAGGGGCTAACCAGCCTGCTGGGCTCACAGGTACCCTCACAGCCTGCAGTCTCCCTCAGCAGCCTTAGAAGAGATCACACACTGAATTTTAGGTATACTGTCAAGTGAAATTGCTGGAAAGCCCTGATTTGTTTGACCCAGTTGTGACTAGTATCCATGTGAGGAAGGAGGTGAGAGGAGAATGGACTGACTGTGGATGGGCTTAGGGCTTGACTATGAGTATAATGGAGCCAGAAAACAAGTAGGTGTTACAAGTAGAAAACAAGTAGGTGTTACAGTTGGATCTCTCTTGCTCTTTATTGTTAATGCATATGCATTCCTTTCTCTCCATGGCTCCTCTGTATGAATTTTGCAGGAAAAAAAGAGAAGCAATCTGTGATTTTTATGACTTGGGCAGTATTACAAATGTTTATGTCTATAGCAGACAGCAGAACATGTGTGCAATAGAGCATGAAAGACTGACTCATTACTATGAAGGCTGGATAACTATAGGTGTCATCCTAGCAGTGGTGCTCAGAGACCAGTCCTAGTTTTGCAATAATCATTTTCTGCTAGCAGCCCTCAGAAGAATGTTATTATCCTGATTTTACAAGAAAACAGGGAGTGTGTATTTACTGTTGGAAAATGAGATGGTTCTGTACTATTCCTCCTCTCCTTTCCTGCTTCAGGGATGGATCAGTTCCTGACCTGCTTAGGTCATACTGGCTTCAGTGAACCCACACCTATCAACCCCCTAGTCATTACAGGGGCAGCATAGAAGGGCAATTTAACACCTGCCTGCCACAACATCTGGTCCAAGAGAATTACCTTCAGCTGTAGTTGGGGTCTTTTTAACACCACTTTCAACTCAACTCTGTCACTGAAGCTAAGGAGACTAAAACAAGGGTGAGGATATTACACCCAGATCTGCAGCATTCAGATAAGATATTGGTGTGTTCATTGGGGAAATAAAAGACTGGACTGTGTGATCATTGCCAGAGGTCTGGCAAGAATATCACAAAAGAGACGTATCCTTCTGAGGGAAAAACACTGTATGTGAGCAAGCCTAAGTACATAATCGGATCTAATGGCAACAAATATACATGGCATCTCTCAAGATGTCTCACTACTGTCATGATGTAGATTCAGGAAGGGGCAATACCCTGCCTGAACCAAAGCTATCTACATCGGTTTGACAGGAGAAAGTATGTCCAGCAATTTTTTGTTACATTGATATGGAAGTAGCAGGAAGGATATGAAAAGATTCAAAACCTATCAGCTATCTTCACGTAGATTATATCTGATGGTGTGATATGGGTTAGTCCCTTGGGACACTTTCTTGCATCCACTTCTGTCTTGTCCAGTACCTTCATCGAATTGCTTCTCTTTCATGTTACGTTGGCTCAGCTTATCTATGAGGGGAAAGAAGTCTCACTCATGGAATGAGAAAGTGACGGTGCTGAGCACAGTACAGGCACTGCAAGGACACAACACAGTTGAAGCCCATTCTGCAGTAGCTCTGCTAGGATGGCAGAACAAATCAGGATTTTAAATGTTTGTGTTACTAAAGTGATCGTATGTGATTTTTGGAGCTGATATGTTGACAAAGAAGGTGACAATTTTTAGGCAAACATTTGATAGTCAAAGTGAACGCCTGGTGTCTCTCTAGAGTCATTTACTCAGAGAAGGGGGAGGTGAAATTGCACCAGTCGCTTTCCTCATGCTAAATTATCTTTAAGACTCAAAGCTCACCTCAAAAATTAAACTTTCATGACTCACTGAAAGAAGAGAGGAAACCCTCTGTAAGATACAGGCACTGTTTCTGTCCTGTGCTATTTGTCTGGAAGCCAGTAGTCTCAATTTTCCTTCTTGCTAATCCATTGGCCTTGAGAAAGTGCAGCAGTGAGTTACAGTGGAGGGGCCATTTAGCAGGAGAGATCCTTCAGCAACGCCCTACTTGAGATAAAGTTTCTGTTTCTTGTAGGTCAGAAAACTACTCTGCTGGATAGAGAGGCAGTCACGTATTCTAGTAAGCCAGCAATGTGGGGAATGGAAAGCAGCCTTGCATGTGTCCTTTCTCATTGGCTATCATTTGATAGAGATCCCTATTCCCCCTTTACCCTGCCTGGGTGACAGGCCATCAGCATTCAGTAGAAAGGATGACTAAGGGGTTCTTTACCCAGCTACTGCCATACCATCTCTTCCTCCACACGGAACACTTTCCATACAGAAATAAGCCCAGCATATGTAGTTCAGAATAAAGCACCATATGTATTGTTTCTACTGCTGTATATGCCACAAACTTTATATATCTTTGGCATAATAAATATCTGTTTGCTAATACTGTAGGAAGGGCTGGTTATACAGTTTATTATAAAGGTTGCTTGATAATAAGTTGCATACAATATTAAATATTCAACCAGTTTGTACTGGTTTTCCATACTTCATTTCTTTTCCTCAGTTGTTGTAAATGTTTTGTAAAATGGTTTATCTGTTTGGAGACCAAAACTGGGGAAAATATTATTATTTTAGCTATGTTAAAATAATTCTGTTGACTGGAAAGCTGTTTTCCCCTTTCCTTCAGCTTAGCACCCACTTGTCTCAGAATCATGCCCTCTGCAGGCCCCATGGCCACCCTTTCTACTAGATTACTTCAGAATAACTCCATTTCTCCTGGATTCACAGGGGCATTTGTACAGATACATTTCCCCAGAGCTCTGAGGTAGAGGCAGAGCCTGCAACAAGCCCCGTGACTGAAGCCCATCAGTTTGAATCCGGGGCTAGGCCCCTGTTGGGACAAGCTGAACTGCAGTGGAGAGCTTCCCAGATGATGCAGCAGAAGCATAGTCTTATTTCTTAACAGAGTGCTTGATTTTTCACATGGAATGAAGTGATTTAATGCATATAGCTTTATTATATAGCATCTACTGACATAACTGCTTAGTATGTACCCTCTTTGTTTCCTTTTCTGTGAATTGTTAAATTTACCTGCTTATGTGAAGGAAGTAGAGACATCTACAGATAAAGAAGTGCTGTGAATCATCATCATCATCGGTTCTTTTTATCTTAAATGGAACTCATGAGTTGGGGAAGTCTCTTAATCTGCTCAGCATTTTGTAATTTGTGATTTGTAATTTGGTGACATTCAAAGTGATATTTTTTTGAAGCCGGTGATTAATGAGTACACATTGAGGCTCCCATCCCCATGACACTTCTGAAAGCGTAAAGTCTCCATCACTGCCACTACTATGTTAATTATAAAAGTCAGATACTGAGCCACCCAACAAGAACAGACTGAAACCCATCTACCAGAGAGCATTCATAGCCAGCCTGTTTCAGTCAGACAGTAAGTCAGGCAAATTCCTGACACTATTCTTTGAAGATTATTAAACCCCTCTTTCTACCTTGGCTATTCCTCCCCTGACACATGCACACACACTCACACCCTCCTCCAGGCTCTGACAGACTTGTCAGAGGGAAAGAATTGCACAAGCAGAGCCTTTAACAGGAGCGAGAGATTCAGCTGTCAGCGCAGCACTCCTTTCTGGAGCTGACAGCAAGAGTGTCTAGCTCAACAAAAGGCATAATGTGCTAGAGGTTATCAGCAAATGGAATAAAAGCCTTTAAAGTTCTACCAGGCGCTGTTTGCTGTGGGATGCCCTTTTAAAAGCCTCTCACTTCTGGATCCACCTGCTCAGTTTGTGTCTGAATCCTTTTCTGTGTGCAGAGAGGTTCCAATGCTGAGCCCCACTGCCAGCTACCAGTGAAAGCCAGCTCAAAAATAGCTGATGGTGGGGGCTGTCTGGCTGTGCTCAGCTGCAGGTCATACACACACATGCATTTCTGCCAACAGGGAGGTGAAACAAAATGGAGTAAACATACACTCTGGAGAGTAGTTTCAAAAGCAAGAAAGCTGTTGGCAGTCTGCAGCGGACCCTGATCATCAAAGGAATGGGGAGCCCTCATGGTGCAATGACTGTGTAGAGTAGAAGGATCTTTCATCTGATGCTCAGACCTTCACAAAACCTAAAGAACCACAGCACATGATGAGCCTCTGCTATGTGCCATTCCTTTCTTACAGCCTTATCACAGATACTTAACTTCCTTCCCCTCAGCTGAAACCCCTCATCAGCCACTTCTCTGCTCTGCACTGAAACTGAAAGATGGGTCTAAAATGCTAAAGATCTCAAAGTGCTGTTTTTCTTTGCCAAACCCCTAGCAAACAGTGAGGAGTATGATGAGAGATTAATTTTCATTTACCAAAGATTAGATTACCCAATTTGCTTAGAGATTATCAGATCAAAATCCAACATAGCTGACGGTACATTTCCTCACCCCTCCCACTGTGACCTTTTAATGTATTGTAAACTGCTAAGAAAGTTATTTTAAATGTCTTTGGTGGTTTAAGGTAGGGGTTTGTGGTACCTCTGCATCACACAACCTTTCATTAAAATGGCAGGGAATGATTCAGATCATCAGAGGTGGTTTTGTTTCTGGGATTTAGGAAATTGCAGCCAGGAATCTACATTGCTGCTGTTACCAGTTATCAGTAGACTATACGGTAGCGTAAACGAGCCTCAAGGAGGAAGGCAACAGTAGGGATGATCTGGATTCCCTAAAAACTCAGCCACTCAGCCAGGATGATGGATACAAGCGGTGCACAGTCAGCTCTTGACACATTGTTCCTGAGCAGGGGCCATTCTGGTGCAGGTCGCTGAGTGCCAGCGCCCAGGGGGTCCGTGGGTGAGCCCACTGCCACTCACCGTGTCTTTTCTTTGTGCAGGACGGAGGATGCAGCTGCCCAGGAGATGTCGCCAAAGCATTTGGTAAGGATAGCGTGCAGTGCCACCCCGCACACCCGTGTACCTCCAGCACCCACAGCAGTGATGCTGGAGTCAATCTGACCCCGAATGTGTAATCAGCAGTAGGTTACATTCGTCCCTGTGGATGATTCCAGTGAAATTAATACACCAGACATGAATTTGCTCTTTGGACTAGACAGTCCAAATTCTGCAGCACTAAACATACAATGGTCGAAGTCCTGTTTAGAAATGATCTGCCAGGTGTGCGTGGGATACAGCCACTGGGACAGTAATATGAAGAAAACTGATAAGGGTTTCTTCTGAGTAGGGTTCAAAGATGCATGTAACATTGCTAGATCCGGCTGACCTGGGCCTTAAATGGACAAAGAGATGGTGGAATGTGTGTTGGACAGAAGAATAAAACAAAAAGGCAGGCCAGATCCCTGGAGATGTTCTAGGATCAGCTGTCCGCTTGAAGAGATGAGATTTTATTTATGTTGTATCCCCTAGAGCTGAGCAGATGTCTAAAACATCTAAGTTAATAATTAACAGATTTTGCTCTCATGCCATTTGCTTCAGTGAATTGCACCAGCTCTTGCTGATAGAAGAGAGCAATTAATCTGTCAGTATTTTCTGTTGGACATGAAAGTTACATTGGTGGTGATGGGGTTAAGGTAAGAATTGTCACTTTGCCATAACCTTGTTGCAGCAGTGTATGTAAACCAGGTGCTAAATGCGTCCTGGGCTGACGGGACATTTAAAGGCACTCCCCCACCCCCCAAAATGCCACATCTTTTGAGATTTCACAGTGGGGTGATACCCAGAACACTGCAGGACAGCAGTTTCTCTCATTGGGATTTCAGAGTGGTACGATATGAGAGATTGCACATTATGATACAGCATATCTGCTTGGCAGGAAGCTTTGCAAGTATGGAAAGCAGGGGCAGGCCTAAACTCAGATTACAGACCTGCCAAGAAAAACTGGGCCTCCTGGAAAGGTTGAAACCAAAATCTGCTTTCTAAGTTTGCAGACAGCTCCTGTTTTTAGGCAGGTCAAATGACAAGGAAGACTTAATTAGAGAATTTTAAGCACAGCCGTAGAGTGATTGCTACCAGCAAGGAATCTGCTCAGTCACAGGATTTCACACCACCCTTGTGTTACCCTGTGTGACGTAGGGAATAGATACTTCCAGTTGGGTGATTCTGACATAGCTGAACAGTGGCATCCACCCTCTTTGACAAGATTGTGTTAAAAAAACACCTGACCTCTCCTCAGCCCAGCCCACTCTCACTCCATGCCACCTGCAGTGAGGCCTTTGTTCTGCCTGACTTTCTCTGGCTCCTCCGCTCACCCGCGTCTTGCTGGTGGTGTTGTTGGGAGCCTGTGAACTGGGATTGCGACCTTGCTGCATTCCCAGCTGCCTGCACAGAAACCTGACCCGTGGAAAAGGTCTTTCTTCAGAAGAGCATTTCCAGAAGTTAGAACAACAGGAAGCAACTTCAAGTTGTTTCCTTTGTGATGTTTATAGCAAGACTGAAGGGTCCTTGTAGTCTCTAACTGAACAGAAGCTTGCTTGAAACCTGTGAAAGGGCAGATTCTGGCCTTGCTGATTGTCAGGAGATGCTGGGATTCAGAGTGGTATGTGTTTGAAGGCTACCACAAATTGTCCCTGGGACAGAGGAGCATCAGAAAGCTGAGATTATTCAGGCGGTAGTTCTACACTTGACAGTAGGCCAGCCAGATCAGTCTGACCTGTCTGTCACAGTTGAAGAGCTGGAACTGACAGAGATCACCTTGAGGCAATAAACTTACCATATCTAGTTATGTGGAATTGAGGTAGACACACAGACTAGCATCTGACTAGCTGGAGCCAGGCGTGCATTTGTCAAAGGTGGGTGGCAAAATAAGCTTCTAAGGAACATTATTACTATCAGTGTTTATTGAATGCTATTGAGGTGATTTGCTATGTAAGCCACGTAGAATAGCCTTCATGCCCAACATTTACAAGGCAGAGTCTTGATACTGATACTGAATTTTCTAGCACAGACCTCTGTGCTTGCCGAGAGCCTCCTGGGGGCAAGGAGTTACATAAATAGATTGGATGGCAGAGACCGGGTGCTAAAACATATGGATGTACTGTTTCACTTGGAGGTAGAGGCCTGGACAAAGCATGGATAAGAGACCCAAAGAGGGCTTTTGGTTAAAGTGATGATTCTCTCTCTTTTTGGTGGATCATTCTAGTCTTCATGAAAGGGATGTTGAGATGTTCATTATAAATCAGTGACAGAGCAGCCGTTTGAATCATAAAAAGTATGAGGGAGTCCCAGATGTGAAGACTAGGATTGAAATATGGCTAAAGATGTGACTGGAGGAGACAAGTTCATGGGAACACGAGGAGCAGAGTGGATTGAGTGTAAATGAAGAGTTGTGAAGAACCATGAAGATGCTGAGTTTTACAAGTGGAAGGTGACACCATTGGTGCCAGGAGTCAGAGGCAGATTGGGCATTTTGACAGAGGGGAAACAAGGTGGAAGCCTATTTAAAAAAGTAACGAACAGAGAAGCGCTGAAGTTGCAGGACAAAAATGCCAGGAGTGACAGATACTCTGGGAGAGACTGCTGGAATTCTGGAACTGCTGGATGGGAACCTTTAATGGATTTGGGAAACTGAAGATGTCATTGCCATCTGGGTATTGGAGATGATAATGGAAAAGATGTAGGTCAATCAGGAAGAAAAGAGGTGTTTTGATGCAGGAATGAGAGAAAGCATGAAAGAACTTTGTGTTGGACTCAGATGGTTCACATAACTGCACCCTTGGAAAGGCTGATAACATGAACACATTTCTCAGAATGCCCCAGGGAGGCACTATACTGTCTCCTTTTTTAAAGATGAGAAGTCAAAGCACAGAAATACTAAGTTCAATTGCTTGAGGTCACATATATTTTTGTGACACAGCCAGGAACAGAATGTGCCTTTTGAATCCTACGCCAGCATCTTTAACACAATACTGCTGTTCCTTACAGCAGTGTCAAGAAGAGATGCAGGAGCAGGGAAAGAAAAGGAAGGAAAAATCATGTGGAAAAGTTAACTGGGGACATACACTGGTTCCAAAATATACCTGACAGGTTCCAAAATATACCCGACAGATCATACTAGCTTTTTCTCCTGTTTTCACTAGCTGTGTATGTATACCTACGGTTGCAAAGGCTTGCTGGCTCAGCTGGAGCACAGGTGAATGTTGATTCCAGGGCCAGCTGTGGTCCAAGCAAACTTATGCTGCATCTGCCTGGAGGGTTGCCCAGGCTACAAATCCAGGCTGACTCCAGCTGAATTTGTGCAGAGCCAGTCTGGGTATCAGTAACGTGTATTATCAGTCATACAAAAGACATCTGAGGGGCTCCATCCAGATCCAGCAGAATCGTGTGAGTGCTGTGAGATTGGGATGGCGTCAGCACACATGTTCTGTAATGGCTTGAAAGAGAAGCTGCCGGGAAATGTTAATGAACAAAATCAGCCCAGATACAGCATAGGCCTCAAAGGGGAAGTCCTCCCCAGCATCAGTGCATTGAAGTGGCATTGTGTAGAAACAGGAGGAGTCTAACAAACCCTGGGTGAGCTACTGGGGTGCTTGTATGCGGCGCACCCCATCACATCCTGTATTAACTAGAGGGTTGTTGACAGGTGTTCTCAGTCTCCCACAGCCTAAAATAATGGCATGCTGTCTATCTGTACTTGAAAATGAAAGACTGCAGCTGGGTATTGCAAACAGGACCAGTACTTATGGTCATACAAAAAAAGATGCATAAGTAAAGACCATGCTAAAAATTACAGCCTCCTGATTGGATGTTAACTGGTAGAAAAGTAGTGGAACAGACTTAAATTTTCAGCCATCTTTGCAATACTTAAGCTGGGTGGAAAGTTCTGGAGAGTATTGGAGAAGTATATTTAATAGTGGTTTGTCATTCCTGGAGCTGCAGGGCAGTAAGCATGTGTCATTCCAATGTTTAGACGTGCTGCATCTGCTGTAACATGGCTCCCTCTCTTCTGGAAGAGCTTGATGAATTATGTTGTAGCTTGCAAAAGTTACTCAAGTTGGATGAGTTTCAATCCTGTAATTCAAACATATTTGCTTTCTTCCCAAAATACACAGTCAGAAGAAAAATAATAAATAGATATTTCAGTGCACGGGAACCAAAATTCCGTAATTCTGAATTGTAGATTTCATGTGACTGTTTTTGCATTAATAATTCTGTGCAAAAAGGAGGCTGTGAGATGCACAATCAGAGACAGGACTAGAATTGAGGATCAGGGATAGTATTGACAATGAAAAGAGTCCAGAGTATCCTTTGGCAGGCCTTTGACTTGTTTCAACACCCACTTTGAAACCTTGACCCCAAATCCATCCCTCCTTCCTCATGTTGTTTTTCTTCCATTCATGAAGAAGACATCGACTAGATTTCCCAGGGACTTATTTTTTGCAAAGGTGCAGCAAGATTGTGCCAGGTAACACCAGGAGCTCCCCACCAGTAATTGAGAATGTCTTAAAAGATGAACATTCCCTTTGTTTTTGGCAGGTTAATAGTAGTATCAGACGTGAGTCAAACTGAGGCTTTAAAACTAAGCCATCTGAAACAAGAGAGCTCAGGAATAATCTGCCAGGTAGCTGGCATGATAGGACACCTGAATGGGTGCCTGATTATAAATACTGCTTGTGATGCGCTCAGCACTTTTGCGCAAGCTTCATTTTTATTATCCCTTTACGACGGACATACTGTTCCCTTCAAACAACAACCAGGAGAAGGGAGGTGAGGTCAGCAGAGCAGCTGAGTACTCTGTTCCCAGGCATTGCTGCTAGGTCTGCTCTTTGGCAAAGAGGGGCAGGGAGGGAACTGGCTTTTATAAATCAGTGCATAATCCACAGTTGTCATGTATTCTAAAATCAAAATATTCTCAAATTCAAGTTTATCTACAGAGCTTTTACACAGATGGCAGAAGCTAAGCAGATTTGATAATGATTTCACTCTTCAGATTTCCAAGTCCAGTGCTATTATTTGAATAGTGACAGAAATCAGAGCAAATCCTAATGCCAGATTTACCTAGTCTGGGACCTCCCAAGAGTTCGGACATGTTTGTAATGGGGTGTGGTTAGTTCAGGCTGATCTGTTTTCTGTGAAGTGAGGTTTATAACCCTGTTCTTTTGCCAGTTCTAGGAGGAAGCTGGGCAGAGGGGAGGCCTGTTCTGACACATACATATTGAAGAAGCAGAGAGCCTGAACAGGAAAATAGTTTGTTTCAGGGATGGGTCACCACAGGCTCATGAAAGAGTAAAAACCAAACTTTTCCAAGCAAGATTAGATATGCCAAAATATCACAGGAGGAGCTGCTGGTGGAATAGTTCCAGCCCAGCTGGAAATACTGGAAATCACAGTAAGAAAACCAAGATTAATTCCAAAAATCTTCTTCCTGATTTTACTCCCAGTGGAATTGATTTCATGATTTGCAAAGCCAGGGGAGATGGACAGAATGGAAGGCATGATTGAGTATTCAGCGTTGTTACCCAGTGTCTGGAACATATTTAGGAGTTGTTCCTTCAGGGTACATTCCCACTCACAACTTGTAGCCTAGAGAGGTCTTGAAGTAGGAGCTGTCCTCTTCTCTGTACAGCACTGAGCTCAACAGGTCCCAGCTCTGTGATTAGGGCTTCTGAGTACTGCAGTCACAATTGTAGTTAATAAGGAACTGTGCTCAGATACTATTATGAAGTAAAGGGTTAAAACTGAATTTGAAAATAAAGAGTGCAGGGTGGAGTAGAATAATCTGTATCTCTGTCGTCACAACAGAAGAGGATTCTTTCCATTTAAAATATCAGAAATACAATTCAGCATGTGTCAGTTTTTCAGTAAGGCGTTTCTTTCAAGTTTGTTTTTGGAGGTCACTGTGTTCTTGCTTTGTCTTTCACCCTCTTCTCCCTTCCCTGCTTCCTTACATGTCATTTTGCTGATCACAGGAGCCGGTGCTGATTTTGTCATGCTTGGAGGAATGTTTGCAGGCCATGACCAGTGTGCTGGAGAGATTATGGAAAAGAATGGCAAGAAAGTGAAACTCTTCTATGGAATGAGCTCTGAAACAGCCATGAAGAAGCATGCAGGAGGGGTTGCTGAATACAGGTATGAATTCTACACAGGAGCAATTGAAGTGAGCCAGCCATCTGGTAACTTCTGGAATGGGGTTGTGCAAAAGGCATCTGTTGGAAACAGGCCCATGCCTCTACTCCTGTTTAGGAAGCTGTTACCAATGCTTGCAGCAGGAGGTCTGAGGGAGGGGTGACATCAAGGGGGAGACAGGGAGAAGGAGCTGGAGGTGGCTAGCTAAAGGCAACTGTGTTCACATGATTGTGGCCCGTGCGGTGTGCTGTCACTGCAGCACAAGCTGCATGGTCTGGGAAGTCATTCAACACTGTTATGACCTACGAGTTTCTCGGGACGCCTATGAATTGAATGCTGGAACATGGCATACCAAGCTGCAGTTTCTGGCCCTCTGCTTGTTCAGGTTGGATGTCCTGGTGATGTATGGGCTCCTGGCTGGTCCGCATGCTCCCTTCTATTTGCAAAAAGTGGGCACCTGGTGGATCAGCAAAGCCCAGCTGGGGTTTCCCCAGTATAAAGTTGAGTTACAGTTGTAACACTAATGAGGGCCCAGGACCTCCAAAGCACTCTTAGTCACAGGCGGTAGCTCCAGGACTCCTTCCTGCACTTGTTGGGCAATCTTAGGCAGCAGAATCCTGCTGTACAGATTTTCCACCCCTTTGTAGCTAACAGAGTGCCAGAGTAGCCCCAAATCATGCAGCATGTGGGAGCTTGGATTTTGAGCTAAAATCATCAGGGGAGAGGAAAGAAAGATGGGGCCTGCGAAGGAATCTCTTGCCCGTTGCTATTTTGCTCTGGAAAGTGCTGAGAATTTTATTGAAAAAGTGGATGGCTTCAGAAAACCTCTGTGCCTTTTCTCTTATGAGTGGCAGGTGTACTCACTGTCCTTACACAATGTGGTTCTTGCATACTTTCTTAGAGAATGTTTTCTGTCTTGCAGTATACACTGGTTTATTGAGGGGTACCTTTTGATTCCTCTCTTCTGCTGGGGTAGATTCAGGCCCTGATCCCATCTGGTAAATTGCTGTTTGTAAGAGTCTCAGAGCCAGTGACCTTACCAACTGTTCCAGTCATTCAGGATTGATGGGTTTTGCTGGCCTTGTCTGCTACAACTACTACAACATGTGGGTCTTTCCCACCGTGTCCAGCTGCTACCGTGGACAAGAGTTGCAGCACTGTGAAGGTGACAGTGCAGAATATAAAGCACAATGGGATCCACAAAACAAAATGGAATTCATACCTGGACACACAGGCATGCTGATAGGACCATGACAATCCAAGACATCATGTTAGGTAGAAAGCATCTTTGATCCCACCTGCTGTCTTCCACCTCGAGATTGGCTCTTGTGGTGGTTTTTGTCTGCCACTTCTGAAGAGTTAAAAGGCACCATAAAAATGTGCACTAGTTCACCTAGCACTTTGCAAAATGGTAAGGCACAGCCTACTTCAGAGCATTTACACCTGTCTCCTTTGGCCTAAATCACAGAATCATTTGGGCTGGAAGGGACCTTTAAAGGTCATCTAGTCAAAACCCCTGTGGCGAGGAGGGACATCTGCAACTAGATCAGGTTGCTCAGAGCCTCATCCAACCTGACCTTGAATGTTTCCAGGGATGGGGCATCTACCACCTCTCTGGGCAACCTCTTCCAGTGTTTAACCACCCTCATTGTAAGAAATTTCTTCCTTGTATCTAGCCTGAATCTACCCTCTTTTAGTTTAAAACCATGACCCCTTGTCCTATTGCAGCAGACCCTGCTAAAAAGTTTGTCCCCATCTTTCTTATAAACCCCCTTTAAGTATTGAAAGGCTGAAATAAGGTCTCCCAGGAGCCTTCTGTTCTCCAGGCTGAACAACCCCAATTCTCAGTCTTTCTTCACAGGGGAGGTGTCCAGCCCTCTGATTATCTTTGTGGCCTCCAACAGGTCCATATCTTTCTTGTGCTGAGGACCCCAGAGCTGGACACAGCATCCATGGGGGTCTCACCAGAGCAGAGCAGAGGGACTGAGTCCTCTCCCTCAGCCTGCTGGCCACACTTCTCTTGATGCAGCCCAGGATACACTTGGCCTTTTGGGCTGCAAGCACACACTGCAGGCTCATGCCCAGCTTCTCATCCACCAGTACCCCCACATCCTACTCTGCAGGGCTGCTCTCAATCCCTGCATCCCCAAGCCTGTATTATATTGGGGGTTGCCCCGAGCCAGGTGCAAGACCTTGCACTTGGCCATGTTAAGCCTCATGAGGTTCACATGGGCCCACTGCTCGAGCTTGTCCAGGTCTCTCTGGATGCCATCCCCTCCCTCAGGCGTGTCAGCTGCACCACTCAGCTTGGTGATGTCTGCAAACTGGCTGAGGGTGCACTCAATTTCACTGTCTGTGTCACTGATGAAGATGCTAATTATGAGCTTCTAGACTGCAATAATAATGGAGACTAAGGAAGGCTAGTGGTAGACATTGTACAGGAGAGACCTGGAGACAAATGAAGTCATTAGCTTTCCTGGTCTGGCAGAAAACCCAGGCTCATTAAAAGAGAAGCTTATGTGAAAAATGGGGAAACAGAAAGCTTGTGCATGCTGCACTTACCTGATAGTCTGGTCTGTGGCTACTAGACACAGTCTAGTTCTTCTAAGGAAGACTTCTGAAGAGACAAAAATCAGTTGGATATAGGGATGAGAGATGATAGTAAAGTAAAGAGTTTTCCAAGGGCAAAAAAGCTTGTGATGAGTTTTGGGAAGTTCCAAGGGCATTGGTTTTTGCAGGGGGGAAAAAAAAAAAAAAAAAGGTATTTCTTAACAAGGAAAAATACCCAGTGAATACTGTAGTTTGAGGAGAACATGTATTTCTGCATCTAATTGGATGAGAAGGGGACTGGGATACCTTTACTTTCTGCCTGAGGAGGACATACATGTTTTTCTTGAGTGGATCATACCCTTCCTCCTTTACCTGAGCCCGTGTACTGTATCAGACTTTACCTGAGCCGTGTTCTGGGGCTGAGATCAGAAGCTAGTGAGCAATGTACAAGGGATTTTTTTAAAAATCTCATATGGGGCTGCCTGTGTACCAGTTAAAAGCACTGCTGTCTGCAGGATATCTGGCTATGCTGAGGACAACTTACGGGAGCAAACCACGTGACTGGCTTTCCACCTGGTTAACCTGCAAGGCCCTTATGGCACTGCATGTTCAGTGTGGTTTGGCTTTCAAGCACAACTGTTTATCTGCAGAAGAAAGAGCTACACAAGAGTCCATCTGCATCCGAGACAAGCTGGAATGATGCATCAGGAGGATGCGCGGCATACCTCTGAGCTTTGATTCACTCTGGGTTCGTATGTCAGTTCCCAGAAGCAGTGTGCAGTTTGGGGGCACTTTTGTCCCCCAGTGTATCTTGGTTATCATCAAAGCCTCTGAACAAATGGGCTGAGTGGACAGCGCTAGTAATTATCTGCTAATTTAAAAGGGGGAGCTGCCAGTTACACCAAGGTACTGGCAACCTTTTATCTGAATGACAGTAACTTCCCGTGCTTTGCTACCGTGTGTTTATGTCAGCAGGAGTGTGGGGAAGGCCTGATGATGGTCAGGCCTGTAGTCATTGCGTCAGACAGCTCCCCCAGAGATCACAGAGCAGCCCAAGCATGCTGCATGGATCTCAGTACAGTGTAGTCATTTAGGGCTTGGCCACCACAGAGCTCGTGAAAGTTGCAGGAAAAGTTTGAGGAAGCATGCTGTACCAGTGGGCCAAAGGACTAAGGCAGCTGTTAAATTCTGTTCTACCTAGTTAGGTGTGAGCTGGCCACAAAATTTACTGCCATCAGGAGAATTAATTGACACTGGTCCCCCTTAAAAATGACATAAAGTGCAAGTATTAGGTCTTATAGGAGTAAAGGATGTACAGAAGGGCACTGTATTTGGCTCAGTCTAGATAGACCTTTTCAATTCCTTATAGGCAATACTACATAAATTTTGCTTGATCCATAGCTGTATTTTAATTTGCATCCTGATTTAGAGTCCCCTGGGGATCAAGTTCTGAAACTTTCTTAGCAACAAGGGAATAGAAGCACCATCTGAAATTTTTAATCCCTGTTGAGATATTGCCACTGATTTTGTACCACTGGTAGGTTACATAGAAGGAGGCCCCCAGTCTGCTGCTAGGTACAACAGCTCCACACATGAAATCTGTAAGCCTTGGCTGTTAACTCTGAAGGAGCCAATTCTTGCTCACATTGCAGCCGTGACACAGAGCTGGCTACCTATACCAACCTCGATTTTGGTCTTGCTTGGCCTGTCCCAGCACGAGTGTCACTGGTTTAAAAATAGCAGCTGTTAGTTATGCAGCACTGTAAATGTGCTGGACATTGAAGGGATGATTGGAAATGGCAAGGCTTTGCTTTGAATTACTCTGATAAGAAAAGTTACAGGAAGTTTAGTCACCTACTAATTTAGCTTATGGCAAACTTGAACCAAAAGTTCTCGTTCTAAATCAGCATTTAAAATGCTGGATACCCCAAACAAGCCAAGTCAGTGGGGCCTCTTTACATGCATTTAAAAAGCCCAGCTGTAAGTCTGTGTCAGTGACCACAATATGCTGTTTTGTCTTTAAAAGAGCCTGAGCACTCACAGTGTTTTATGCAAGCAGTGAAGAGCTCAGTGTGCTCAGCCCCTTCAGAATTGGTCTGCTTGTCACTTAACTTCATCTTCTCAAAATTACACATTTTGGCTGGAGAGCCAGAGCCTCCAGCAAACAGTTAAATGAAAATTGACACATAAGGTGAGATGGCTGTAGCAGGGAATAACGTTATGACAGTAATTGTTATTGTAATGAATATGTCAAGTTGATCTCATTTAATTTTGTGGGAAATCTGTCTACCCAGTTTCATTACTTTTATGTCATTTACATTTTGGTTTATTTCTACATTTTTTACTTCCTTCCATGAGAAGCATGGATCAGAGCTGGCAATTTCTGAATGGCAATTATTAAGTTTCTTTTATGGGACAAAAGAAGTAAGGCAAGCGGGAACAGAGACCACACG